AAGAAAATCCTGACCTGAAACGATCTTTTTTCTCTTATTTCATGAGATTAACGATCAAATAAACATGAAATTTTCAAATCATTTCAATATTTGAATTATTTTAATTTCCGCATCCCCACCCGGAATAAGTTTGATGGACAATGAGCACGCGTTTCTGGCACATATCAGAGTTTCATGACAGACGTTATTGTTTTACGGTTATTTTAGACGCATTTTATAATGTGTCGATGTCAATATGAACAGACTATAAACTTATTCTCGCCCATTTCACGTACATTTTACGACAGTCGCCCACATCAAATTTACTTTGCGCGTTTTATGCTCGCGCACTTAAAACGTATATGGCACGTGTTTTGTCCTTTTATTCTTCAGATGTTCCTATATTATAACAGGGATCTACATTTACTGCTGCCTTAGTACGTTAAATCTATATGTAAAATATTTACAATTATTAAATTGTATTTCAATCAGTAATATCCGTGTATGTACATGTTCAGACTTTTGATGCGGTATTCTCTGTCCTTAAACGCTTTTACTATAAAAAAAAATGATAAAGAATATAGCGATTACGTGTAAATATGCACCGTCAATGCATTATTTCATTTTATATTTGCTTGAAAAAAAAAGAAGACAAAATCCCGTCAATGAAAATTTTTCAATTTCAAATGCAGTGTTTGTCTACGATTTCGGTGTCTGTATGTTTTTCGTTGGATTTTTATCAGACAGATACGGAAGTGGTAATGTGACGAGTTCAATGGTAAAGAAAACCGCAGGTGATGAACAAAATACATCCACCATTTGTAAGCATGAAAGTATACGGATATCCTTAAAGGCACATACTGCCTTAGAAATCAACAATTTTGTAATTTTTCAGAAATATCAAATATCGTTTTAAAGATTGATTTAGAGCATGTAAGATGTTAAACAACTAAAGAAGATAGCAAAATGTAAACAAAGTAGTATTTTGACTTCCATATAAAATATCAAATCACTATAATAGTACCAATTGCCAAAGATCAAAAGAATCAAAGAATGTTGGTTTATAAAGCCAATGTGTACACGTTTTGAAAATGTTACAAGATACTAAACGATTTGAGAAATAAAAATGATAGCAGTTCACGGGCCTAGTGGGCCTTTAAAGGACTTGAACCCACAGATGTGAGAGGCAAGCGATTCGAAGCTTCGTAAGCTACAGAGGCCGAATCTTGTATGTCTGTCGCATATGAAATGATTCATCTATAGTGATTTTGTATCAAAGAACTTTCCAATGTATAAAGAAATGATAAATTACTCATTTTTACAAGATTTTATTTATAGATCATTTCATATAAAACAGAAACGCTGAATACATCCCATCAATAACATATTAGCATATTGATATTTATCTGCATGAATATGGAACCAATTTGCATGTCTGATATAGTGTGAATAAAATATAAAATGCGTTAGTGCGGAATAGATTCACGTGATCAAAAGCCCCTCGATTATTTCATTCGTCATATTCAGGAGCAGCGCAAAATAAAGGAAACCTCTTGTAAATTACCTTATTAGGAAAATGATTTAAATAGTATAATCTCATCTATTATCGACTAAAATACGAACATGCATTCTAAGTATGAAATAATAATAGAAATTTCATTGTCAACGGATTCAAGAGGAATCATTCGTGTTAAGGGACTGTAGTGCGTCTTTACTATCACATATTCTAGCCCAGTTCAGTCCCTTTATCTATAGTCAAATGTTGCGTTTTCTGTTTTTGTTGGGGTTTTTCCTCGTTTCGGCGTAAACAGGAGTATATTGAAGATATTTTGGATTGTATTTTTGAATGTATTGTAAACATAACTATGACGTGCATGATTATAATAATATTTAGCAGAGGCAACACATTTTATAACTAAAAGGAGTCGCTTCCATAAAGAATTATGCTAAAGTTATAGTATACACCTGAGTATTTATGCTTAAAGTATACATTATATTTCAGCATATAAAAAGATAGCACTGTATGTAATGAACCCCCTGCTTCTATGATTTACGACTCTGAATATATATCCCTACGTATACTATGGATTTAATGAATGTTGAGGAAAAAAAAACTTTGAATTTGAAAATAAACTTTCGACGTACAAATTTTGAAATACATGACTTCCTCCCGTAAACCCCGGACAAAGATTATTAATGAATACCCCGCCTATGAATTATTTGAAAGTTTTGCCTCTACCCTACAAATTAAAATAAAAATTTATACCTCCCATTTAAATATCAGTGAGAAACATTAATTGTAGTTTTTATCTAATAATGTACGATTCATGCAAAATAATCCTAGGCAGACACGTTACATGTAATGATTACATGGTGATGGGACTTTAACTCATACCTCACGCTAAATTACATAAATGGACTTGTCTCATAATTTTGAGGGGATTTATCAGAATATTTATTGACTGAATAGCGAACAGTGCAGGCCATGATCAATTAGGTAATTTTGCTCTTTTTTTTAATGCGTTTATTTAAGGTCGCCGCCGGAAAGCCGTACACTCAAGTCGGGCCATCCTAGAGCGTCCCGCCGAGATTTTTTCGTCGATTTTTTCCAGCTTTATTGGTGGAGGAAGACCCCAGGTGCCCCTCCGGGCATTATTTCAGGCACGAGCGGGCACCTGGGTAGAACCACCGACCTTCCGCAAGCCAGCTGGATGGCTACCTCACATGAAAATTTCGACCCGTAAGGATCGAACCTACAGCGGTAAGGGACCTGTGATCTCAAGTCAGCGACCTTAACCACTCGGCCACGGAGCCCCCCCCCCCCCCCCCCCCCCCCGATAGAGAATCTGTTGCCGTCAGCAAGGTTTAATTTAAAGACTAATCTGTACACGTTCGTAATCTATAGGATCAATACGCGATGTTTGACTTGACGCATCAGGCGTACCTACGTTTAAAAACATTTAAATGATAGAACAAATAGGTGTATTTAAGATAACGCATTTTTTCTGTAACTTTAAATACATGTATACAAAATGCAATACTGATCGATTTTTAAACAAATACATAATTATTTGGATAATCTTATGTTTGTTTGTTTATCACGTGCAGGATAAAACCTGTATATTTTTAAAAAAAGTATTGAACGTGAGAAAGCGACCAGGACATGCAATATTTTGCATGTACTTGTATTCTTTTTTTGTATATACAATGTACATCATTTTCTTAAGTATAAGATACATAGATAAGGTGAAAGTGCATTCTTTCGTTGTCATGTCGGTGCGTGAGTCATTTTCTCTATATTTATGGTTTGTCGTCTGCACCATGTAACCGGAAATACGTGCATACTTAATTTTTTTTTTGTTCAATGTCACCTGTTGTGTATGTATACATATATATAGTGTTTATTATGATATGCATGTATTGACAAATCTCGTCAAATCTATATGAAAACAGTAAACGATCCTAAAACGCGCGCGTTTGATTCCTAGAAGTTGCTGAACTTGACCTTGACATTACCGTAAACATATTCAAAAGGAAAGTCGTTCTCGGTATCTTAGTTACGTAATAATGTTGAGAAATTGTCTCTTTTGTAACATAACATAACATAAAGAAATATATCTTAATACTAAGCCTTACTGACTGTATAACTAATGATCGATATGTGTTTCACACGGATGCTAATAATAATCTCTTAATGAGATCTTCTGTATAAAGCAGATGACTGTAAAACATCGCAGAAGTAACTGACGCGGACCATAAAATAGGAAGTGGTATAAAACTATATTAGAACTTGAATAAGTATAATTAATTATAACTTAAGACTATTCAATTATAAAATATATCAAAAATAATTTAGTTATCAAAAATTCAAATCATTAAAAATTGTTACTAAAATCGATATTGTTTTTCAAATCGTGCGAACTTCACACACCGTGACAAATGTCAGATGCCCAGAATAAAGTCGCTGTAAGCACATAATGTCGATGGTCATTAAAAGCTTTAAGACTATTTAAATATCAACAAAACAATGCCTCGAGCGTAAATTATGTATAAATATACTAGTACATGACCTCAAAACAGCTTTGTTTGTCTTTTCTTATACTGATCTGCTTTAAGAAAAAGATAACGTCAAAAATGGCGATATCTCCAGGCTATCTACGTATTCAATGCACTTTGAAAATATATTCGTAAAACAGTCTTTATAACAGACATGGAGACGAAAAATTCTTTAAATCAATTCCTTTATCACCACAACCACCTTTAATACTGCGTATCTATGAACGCTATAATATTAATAAACATGTACATATGAGCCGCGTCATGACAAAACCAACATAGTGCGTTTGCGACCAGCATGTATCCAGACCAGCCTGCGCATCCAGTTTCTCGACTTGTAAAAGGGTTGGTAAGCGAACAGCATGGATCCTGATCAGACTACGCGGATGCGCAGGCTGGTCTGGATCCATGCTGGTCGCAAACGCATTATGTTGGTTTTGTCGTGACGCGGCTCATATAGTCTATATACATGTACGTCTCGTGAGTTGACGCATGCGTTTGAAGCTTATCTACGTTTAAATGATTTATCACAATAAAAGTAGCTTGGATATAAAGTAAACCTAATCGCTGTTTGAACTGCATGTGTTAAAAACTTCTCATATATTAAAACTTTTTTTTCTTCAAAAATCAATAGCTAAACCGATTTATTTTCGTATCTGTATGTATCAACAAAACTTCATGTTAATAATGGTAGTCTGTTTTAAATTGAAACAGTGTTTTCTCTTTTATCTAAAAGTAAAAGCGTTTAAACTTGCTCTCTAAGTCTGACATGTTGTCTTTGATGATAAAATACCAATTTTTATCGTCAGGAAAAATACATAAAATTCCTGAGAATAATCATTCTATAACAATTAAAATAGCATACGCTAGTTGCTGTCATCGGTGGCAAAAAAAATCTGCATATACATGTAATAAAGAACACAAATAAGAGGAAAACAAAAGAACAAAATTAGATCAATACATACAGCTCGATTTCTGTCGCCATCCCTCTTAGTAGATGTCTACCGCAATAGCAATCTCTTCAAAAAATAACTGAATAAGTTTTATATTTTGTCACTAGTCATGCAACTCAGTTCTATTCACTGGATGAAAATACGATTGAATGCACTGTTTGAAAGTGACAGAGGTTAATTGTTGTTTTCAATGCATCTCAATTTTTTAGACAATTATTACTGATTGTGTCATTATCTATAATTGATGAAATAGATCCTCACTTTTCTTTCACGTTATTATCAGCTTTATATACGCATTTAAAATAACGATATCTTGTCCAGATCTCTTTCAAATGGTCATGATATAAATAATGATAAATCCCCGCATACCGTAGAAAATCCGTTTAGGTACCTGAATATCACTTCCGATTTGTAAACGTGAAAACCGAGTCCAGACTCTTAATACACTGCTTATAGGAATTGAAAATCACCTGTACAAAAATAACTTACAAATAACTACATGTATAAAAATAAAATGTTCATCTTAAATCTTCATGTTAAACTCGCGAAATCCGATGTTTATTTATAGCTTAAACGTTTCAGAATTTGCTATGTTTAAATTGTTATGATGTAAGAATACGTAAGTAAATAGATAAAAGCAATGCCCTCTAATAATATCTTTAAATATGTACATGTATCCTTTTTTATTAAAGCGGTATTAAAGTTTCAACCTTACACGGAACTGATTACGTTGATAAATTAACCATAAACGTTTAACGATATGTCATGTATACAACGTAAACTAATTAGTATACAATGTATTTATATCCACAGTTTTGTATACATGATATGATGTTATCACTAATATAATAACACTTAATGAACGATTTAAACAGCTTCGAATTATATGTACATGTAACACTATTTGTACGGTGTTTAATATATGAATTACACCTAAATATAGTGCATATGGCAGTATCCTCAAAACGCGCAATTCATGCGAAACATGTAGTTTCACTTCGTCTCATTCAAAATCATCAATGATCATATCTTATATTTTTACCTTATGAACACCACCACCTTTTATGCTGTGTAGCAAATGTCTTATATCAAATATATGTAATACGAATTTTACCTTTTATTTACTTGTCAAACAAGATTGCCCTGGAGAACAGAAAAGTTTGTTTGTACACAATGCCAGATGGTGTTATGTCGACATTTCAGACCGCGAGGCAAATAAGGCCATGGTGTATATAACTAGAAGGCGTACTTCTTTTGAAAATATTACATAATCGCAATAAAACTATAAAAATTGACGGACTCTTTATTTACATGTTTTGTTCTTTCTCTATCTTTTTTGCGCAGCTAAAACATATTAAACGTGCCGAATACCGCATACGGTATTAACTACACAAAAAAAAATTAAATAGGACCATGTTCTGCAAAAATTATTTGGTGGTCTTTTGAAACCTTTTGTGCGTGTATTTAAGTGCATACATGGTTCATTGAATAGAAGTATAAGTATATGCATGCATGTTGTATGTTTATAAGATCTAATAAGCTTTCGATGGTTTTATTACTTTACTTTACTTTACTTTACTTTACTTTACTTTACTTTACTTTACTTTACTTTACTTTACTTTACTTTACTTTACTTTACTACTTTACTTTACTTTACTTTACTTACTTTTTATTTATTTATTTTTTTTTTATTTATTTTTTTATTTTTATTTATTTATTTTAAGCATCTAAAAGACTAACATAGATAATAACAACATTTTAAAACACATGACAAAAAAGGTTTTTATAAATTCAATTTGTTTTCAATGGTTTTATTTATTTATTTATTTAATTGTTTGTTTGTTTGTTTATTTATTTATTTGTTTGTTTATTACTTTATTTATTTATTTTTTTTCATTATTTATTTATTTATTTATGAATGTATTTATTTTTGTTCATTTTAAGCATCTTAAAGACTAACATAAATAATAACAACATTATAAAACACATGACAAGTATATATTTAATAATAACCCTTGAAGAATGCATACGCTATTTTCTTTATTTACTATGTTTTATTGTTCTTGTTTTTTTGTATGTTGGAGGTAAGTTTCAGAATTAAATACAGATATTAACATGTTTTTGTAATTTAACTTTATATCCATATAGCCATGTGTAACTAGGATATTAATTCCGGCTTTATGGCGAAATATCGCTTTTTTAATATGCCCCAAAATTTTTTGTTGGGGGAAAAAAAGGTAAAACCAAACCTTCCCGAAAAAATTTTTGGAAAAAAATTTATAAATAAAAAAAAATAACGGATTTTCAACCTCCCTTGGTTAAGATAACTCGATATATAATGAGTGTAAATGTCCTCTTCTATTCAGCATAATTTTTTTTTGTCAACGTTTCTGTAGAAAACGTGTTCAGGAAATTTATGAAAAATGTATACTTTGTTTTTTTTTTGCCAAATATGTCTGCCTTATGCCAAACATACTTGCAAGTATGGCTCGCTTACTTTTGAGACCACTTAGAATCTACTACGCCTTCTTATAACAAACTTATATGATTTCTTAATTATTTAATGATAAAGAGTAAATATGCGATTGTGAAAGTAACTTTTTCCGTTGTGTAAGTAAAGATCATACGCATACTGAGAATGCACGGGAACATCGTGCAGACGGATTAATTGAATCAGATTCTATGTATCACGTCAAGTCGGGGGATGATAATTGTTACGATAATGTAATAGACAGGAAAAAATGTATGCTAACACGTTTTGTCAATTTATGTTTTATTTGATCAAAGACTTGCACAAAATTGACAGGAAATTAACTGCATTATTGATAGAATATTTTGAAAGGAAGCATGAAATAAAGGCATCCTAACAATATACTGCATCATATCATATTGGTTTTAAAGCGGCACGCCCTGAGAGTTGTACGATTTTTTTGACGAAACTTCGTCTTATTATTATTATTATCATCATAATTATTATTATTATTATTCTGATGCATTTCCTTAGATATACAATGGTTACTGTGTTTAAAACTTTGACTTTCCTGTAACTACATTATATCTCCCTCGGCTTGATTATTTAAAATTCCTATTTTCATTTTGCGTCCAGAAGCTTTAATTTTCAAGGTTAAGTGAACTCTAGCTACAAAAGTTCTCGATGAATGGATATTATTGTACACGCAATTCAGTCATTTGTTGTTGATTTTTTTTTTTTAAATAGAAACATTACGGTATATTATTCAAATATACACAGACTCTATTCTAAACAAGCTCTAGTCTTTATCAAAGTATAATTAACGCATTGAATCTCAGTGTACATTGTATAGATAAATGAACAACTGGGGCATTTGTACATTTTAAATGTTTTTCTTCTTAAAAATATGTCTTCCCCACAATAATGTGAAGATTTATGTGTTGTTATTCTAGTTATTACCAGTTATATCAGGACCAAAGGTCTAAATTAAGCAAAAGTGTGTCATGAAAGCGAAGTTGAGTGTTTGGCTTATCACGAAGATATAAAGCGGTCAGATAAGGTCATCATCATGGCGTCACTGAGCCTAATATGCTCAGTTTTATACCTAATTGTCGTATTTTCTGTTCTTTCCGAGCAACACAGCTTGTCAAGAAGTTACAGTAAGTGCCATTTCATTGAAATTTTCTCAATAGGGTTAGGTTTTAGGTAAGAGTGACAATGTATATGCCATACAGCATCGTACAAATTGTGCTTGTGAAAGGGAGACCACGTTTGCCCATTTATGCATTACTACAGGCACAAGTCATGTTGGTACTTGAATACCGATCTTCCGCTAATTTATTCCTAGGTTTGGTGCATTGATTTAACAAAATGGTCGATCCTTAAAATTTGTGTCTTTTTAAAGCCAGGATAGTAACTTATGTTCCTTTTCTGTAGATTGAGCTTTAAGCTGAGGCTAACCGGAAGTTCCTGATATTTCAGCTCCACAATTTGAAAAAGGAAAACCAATTTCGACTATTCACACGAACGACGTTAGAGAAGCTTCCGGTATATGCGCAAGTCGTATTCATCCGAACATAATATACACTCACAACGATTCAGGTGACCATACTCACAGTATTTACGCTATTGACGTCACTTCCGGTCGAGAAGTTTCGAAAATCACAATAAATCATGCAGTCAACAAAGATTGGGAAGATATAGCATGTGGGCCATGTGACAGAAGCCATGGTGATTATTGTATCTACATAGCTGATACTGGAGGCAATGTTCATGACGCCGCAAATATCATCTACAGGATTAAAGAACCAGAAAAGCTTCATTCTCATATCACTGTAGATCTCGACTCCATGTTAAAGTTCAGGTAATTTGTTCAGTTAATCTCCAACCTTAATATGAGATATGAAATAGTTCGAAAAAGTAAGAATAATAAGTTCCATGCACTTTATCAGGTCATGGAAATGATATTGTATCGTATGATATCATAGTAAATTTAATGTAAACTATGAGAGCGACGATCAACAGGAGCACCTCCGCCACATTATTCTCCTCCGCCCGCGGTAACCACAATATTTAGTTAACCAGGAACGGTACACATGGGGCACGGGGAAGGAACTGGAACAGGGTTGCGTAAGCTTTTACGAAAATTGTACAGGATGACAGTTTATTCTATGAAGTCCTTATTTTTACTAATTTGTTGACGTAGTACTACCTTTATAGCTAATGCGGGTATACTATGCATCTATCGCAGATTTTACAATTGTTATAGACGAAATTCACCTTCGTCAAGATGTATATTTAAGCAATAATGCGATTTCATATTATGTAGGTGGAGCGAGCAGAATTGTGAGACAGTAATGGTCGACCCCAAAGCGGAAGTGTATATTGTGTCTAAGGTGGATGGTGGACATGGCAGAATGGTTAAATTACCATCAAGTGCCTGGGGTTCATCCCACACGGCGTCAGTGAGTGGTGGTATACATCTGAACGGCATTCACAGTAGCCGCAACGATCCCGTCGGTGGGGACATATCTCCCACGGGATATGAGGTAAAGATTATTTCAAATTTAAATAATATTTGACATTGCCTCAGTACAGTTTATAATACGTTTGTTTCTTTGTTTGTTTCAACTAAAAACATATTACCCTGTCAATTATTAGAATTTGCAATCAAACGCAAATTAGAGAAATGCATTTTCGCAACTTGTTTAAAACAGAGGCATAATAGATTGAAATCCCGTTTTTAATATTACAATATAGAAATATACTATGCCAATAGGTTTGTTTCGAACTTCTGAATTTTTATTTACTTGTTATTCATTCTCTACATTCTTTTATGTTTAGGTGTTGATAAAAACCATCTACGCCGTTAATTACTATTACGTCCCTGACGGCGATTATCTTAAACATATGACTGGTACCCCTTTTCAACTTCCGTTTGATCATGACTATGAGCGGCAAGGAGAAAGTATTGCCTGGGACCCGAATGTTCGTGGCTACTACACGCTTGGAGAGGGGGCCAATCGACCGCTTTACTTCTACAAAAGAGTACCTCATACTTCCCTTGTCGGATAATTAATGCACATTTATTAATAAAAAAACTTTATTCAATCTTAAAGGCCAATTTTGCCTTAGAAATGATTGATTTTATTCATTTGTAGCAAAGGTAAACATATTGTAAAAATGGATCTATAACAACTCTGAGATACTCTGAGACACTACGTTCCTGACGAAAACAACGTTCAATGGCAAATAACTTGTGATAAAGGTTGCAAAATGGTATTTTGACTTCAAAAATACTAATTCTACAGCTTAAGAACATGCAACACTCAAACGAAACAAAACATTGTTCAGCTATATGGCCAATGAGTAAATTTTTACAACTCTAAAGGGCACCAAACCTTGAAATGTTTTCGAAAAAAAAAATATGATATCAGTTTTAGGTTTAATGCGCCTTTAAATAAGAGCTCAATGATGTCTCACATAATCTAAGAATGTCTAGTCGGTTGCATGTACCTACTGTATGTGTAAAGCAACGTCAAAGCGAATAAGTCATTTGTGGTTAATTGTGCGAATAATATCTCCCAGTAAGTGTTTATTCGAATCCCAGACACATACATAATCGAAAATCACTTAAGAGTGGAAAACTCGGTTTTATCTCTAGATAATGGGTCATAAATCACGAGTATGGTGTTATTTGTACGACAAAATTGACACTTAACATGTTTGTACAGAGCCAATAATACTAAATTTATATGTTATTTATGTAGCACGCTTAAAATACGAGAAATAATAAAAGAAAAAGAATAATGATCGTTGACTGAACATTCTCAAATAGGAACCGAATACTCGTATCTACTGCACAGCAGTATAATGAATTAAGGCTGTGCGTCTGTGTATATAACTTGCTTACTTTTGTTTTGAAATCCGTTTATTTCTAAATACAACTTTAACAACTATAAAAGTAGGAAACTGGAGCTTATCATAAATAAGAATAACATCATTTCCCGTTAACTGAAGCGTTTTTACCTTTGCACATACACGTATATAAGATATTAAAGCAAGCAATATGTGCACAACTCTAAGTGCCCCAACTGTGCATTATTTCAGTCACGAACGGGTAAATGAGTAGACACCGACATTCCGTAAGCTAGTTTAATATTTGATACGAAAAGCGTAAAAATAGACTTTAAAGCTACATGCCTCTAGATAATCCAAAATATTTCAATAATATCAAACTTAAAAAAAATATAACTTAGACTTTAGGAATGTAAAAATGTTAAAGATTCAAGTAATAATTGACATGTTATATGTGGTTAATGACTGATTTTTTTCAATATTATGACTATATTTCTACTGCGTTACTAACGCAGTAAGGGCTTTTTTGCACATTTTTACCTCATTTTAGTAATTTACGTGAGTTGTAAGTGCAAGTAATTATGTGTAAATTGCTTCCTTTTGGTCACTACACATTATTATACGTTTTACTTATTTCAAAAATGTCCATGAAAAATAGCATAAATCTGGAGGCGTGCTTCTTTAAATGATATATAGAGGATATTTGTTTAGTTCAGTGTAAGATCGGAATATATATTTAACCGAGTGAGCACCAAAAGGAATATTTCACGAGTGGCGCAGCCACGAGTGAAATATGAACTTTTGGTGTTCACAAGGTGAAATATATTTCAATCTTACACTAAACTAAACAAATTTTCTTTTTATTACATGCACAGAAGCGTTTTAAAAAGACATTTAACCTAATACTAAATGAAAAGCGCGCCAAATAATAATACAACGTGACGTCATTTACGACGTCACGTCATTAAGTTGGTACCCAGTACTGTGCACGCTGGTATTTCACTGAAACAACGTAAGGGGCTTAAATTCAAAACAGTGAAATTATCAAAGTGGTAATTTCACTGTTTCAAACAGTGAAATTACCAGTTTTATATCACTGATATATTTCTATAAACCACCGAAAAGCATGTAATAAAAGTTGGCGGTTATTTAGCAATAAAGACTGTTTTTAAAGAAGTACTCTAAATTAAAATCTTAACATTGACCCATATTTCATAGATGTTTTTTTTTTGTTTTCTAGTTTTGCATCGGTATTCCATATCTCATCTCAAATTATTTTTGTCGTGGATATTGGCAGTTTTTATCAGAGTAAACAAAATCTGGATCAGTTGATTCTGTTTGTTTGTTTCATTTTACGCCTTTTCCAAACAGTATTTCAGTCATATAGGCGGGTAGTTTCCTAACCATCGTTCCTGGAGAGTTACACCAGTACTAGACTACCTTCCTCCGCGCTAAACTACCAAAGCATCTCCCGGGGATCGAACCCACGCCAGAGAGGTAATTGGATTAGTAGTCATCGACCACGGAGGCGGTTGTCAGTTGTTTCTGACTTTTCCAGTTGATTCTGACTTTTTCCTTATATATACGAGCTCCTTTATAACAAGAACGTGTTTGTTAAACACAAATGCCCCCGGCTCAGATTCTTGTCAGTAGCAATATTTCAAAAAATGTTTACCCATTCACTCAGTTATAGACAGAAAAATTGCCAAACAATTGTAAACACAAGTTATATAGCTTGACAAAGTCATGGCATTTTGTAATTGTGAAAAATATAAGTTGCCAAGTCATTGCTCTGACTTATTCATACTTGGTAGGATGATTGGTCACTTAAATATTCAACTTCATGCAAGTTATCTTCCTACCAAATATGAAATACATCTGTCATTAAATAAAGGCTGTATGGGCAAAAGTGAAAAAATCTATTTTGAGCACTTGTGACCTTGACCAAACTGACCCCTAACTCTATCCAAAAGAAGAATACCATGTAAGTTATCTTCCTACCAAATATGAAATACATCTGTCAATAAATAAAGGCTGTATGGGCAAAAGTGTAAAAATCTATTTTTAGCACTGGTGACCTTGACCCAACTGACCCCTTACTCCATCCAAAGGAAGAATACCATGCAAGTTATCTTCCTTCCAAATATGAAATACATCTGTCAATAAATAAAAGCTGTATTGGCAAAAGTGTAAAAATCTATTTTTAACACATGTGACCTTGACCCCACTGATCCCTTACCCCAATCAAAAAGGAATGAGTACCATGTAAGTTATCTTCCTACCAAATATAAAATATATCTGTCACTTAATAAAGGCTGTATGAGCAAATGTGTAAAAATCTTATTTTTAGCACTGGTGACCTTGACCCAACTGACCATTAACTCCATCAAAGTTTATGTTTCTATCAATTATAAATAACATCTGTCTATAGAATAAGGTCAATACACCTGTAAAAATGTAAAAATCTATTTTAAACATTGGTGACCTTGACATTGGTAACATTGACCTTGACCCAAATGACACCTTACTACACCCAAAGAAGGAGGACCTCCCTTGGCATGTTTGTATTAAACTAAGACATCAACTAAAAAATAAAGGCTGTATGGGCAAAAATGTTTATATTTATTTTTCAAACCAGTGACCTTGACCCTAGAGACCGCTTACTCCGCAAAAAATTAAAGGACCATCAAAGGTATCCACCTACTAAATATGAAAGATATCATTAAAGAAATTAAGCAATTAGGAGAAATTTAAGAAAAATCCAACTTGCCGAAATAGGTTAACCAGACAAGGCCCTATTTTCAAAGTGAAAAAAGTGAAATAACTGGGAAATATGGATGACACAGTTATATAACTTGGCAATATCATGTACTTTGTATTGATAAGTAAGTGTGGAAATTATAAAGCCATTAGTATATAGAACTTAAGATATTTCCAACTTGCCGTTTTAGGTTAACCATTATTCATTTTCTAAGTGCTGAAAAGGGCAATAACTTGGTAAATATGAAAGCCAGAGTTATGTAACTTGCCCAGATCATGTACTTTGTATTGATTAGTAAGTGTGTAACATTAGAAGCCATTGGTACAGGTAGAACTTAAGGAAAATCCAACTTGCCGTTCTAGGTTAACCTCGTACGGACAGAGGGACAGACGGGCGGTTCAATTACTATATGCCCGGGGGCATAAAAACTGCTTATATTTCATTTCTTCAATTCTAACCAAATAAAGTTCATTCTAAGCAACTGTTCCCTACTCTTACGTCTTACCCAATCATTATTTGTTGTAGGATGTAAAGAATTTCTTAACTTTCTGGAAATGTGTCAAAGTTTGTAAAAAGCAAACTACTTTTTATAATGCTAAATTTTAGCTGTTTTCATTTCTTCATAATTACATGTATATAATTCTAAATTAAACAAGATATGTTTGTAAAACATGTATGCCCCCTGTCGGCAGCCAATTAGTCATGTGATCAGGTTATTATGCTTGACTTCTGACCCAGTGAACAAAAAATCTAATAAGGGTTATCTAGTATCTACTGGTCATGACTAGCTCACAAGGTAATAATTATTGTTGACCCTATAGTTTTGTGTCAGCAATTTAAGTTATTACAAATCTTACCAAATAATATATGCATAAATTTTTCTGAATCATGTAGGCCTCATTAATGACAGCCAAGTTGTTGACCCCCCCTTGAACCCCAAAATCAATAGGTCATCTACTGGCAGTGACCAATCATCCTACCAAGTATGAAGTTTCTAGGCCTAAGCGTTCTTTAGTTATTGATTGGAAACCGTTTTTACCTACAAGGTCAATGTGACCTTGACCTTTGACCCCTTGACCCCAAAAATCAATAGGAGTCATCTGCTGGTCATGACCAATCATCATACCAAGTTTGAAGTTCCTAGGCCTAAAGCATTCTCTAGTTATTGGATTACCGTTTTTACCTACAAGGTCAATGTGACCTTGAACTTTGACCCCCTTGACCAAACATCAATAGGGGTCATCTGCTGGTCATGACCAATCAAAATACCAAGTTTGAAGTTCCTAGGCCTAAGCGTTCTTTAGTTATTGATCAGAAACTGTTTTTAACTACAAGGTCAATGTGACCTTGACCTTTGAACCCTTGACCCAAAACTCAATAGGGGTCATCTGCTGGTCACGACCAATCATCATACAAAGTTTGAAGTTCCTAGGCTAAAGCGTTTTTAGTTAATTAATCGGAAACCGTTTTTACCTACAAGGTCAATGTGACCTTGACCTTTGACCCCTTGACCCCAAATCAATAGGGGTCATCTGCTGGTCATGACCAATCACCATACCAAGTTTGAAGTTCCTAGGCCTAAGGGTTCTTAAGTTATTGATCGGAAACCATTTTTTACCTACAAGGTCAATGTGACCTTGACCTTTGACCCCTTGACCCCAAAATCAATAAGGGTCATCTACTGATCATGACCAATCACCATACCAAGTTTGAAGTTCCTAGGCCTAAGGGTTCTTTAGTTATTGATCGGAAACTGTTTTTGCTTACAAGGTCAATGTGACCTTGACCTTTGACCCCTTGACCCCAAAATCAACAGGGCTCATCTACTGATCATGACCAATCACCATACCAAGTTTGAAGTTCCTAGGCCTAAGGGTTCTTTAGTTATTGATCGGAAACCGTTTTTGCTTACAAGGTCAATGTGACCTTGACCTTTGACCTCTTGACCCTAAAATCAATAGGGGTCATCTACTGATCATGACCAATCACCATACCAAGTTTGAAGTTCCTAAGCCTAAGGGTTCTTTAGTTATCACTCCGAAACCATTTGGTCTACGGACCGACGCACCGACGGACCGACAAGTGCAAAGCAATATACCCCCTCTTCTTCGAAGTGGGGGCATAAATATGGGTTTAGGCTAAAAAAAAATATTTCGATCGATATAAGTTAACAATGTGGCCTTGAAAACTGGCAAGAAATGTATTTTATTTTCAATCCATAATGTTTTGTATATTTATCATTTAATTCACTTGGAAGCAACTGATGTAAGAATGTGTCTAAGAAATTTTTTACTAAAGAATCTTGCTTCATTGTTTACGTAGTCAATTGATTATTGCTGCTTTTTTAGTCATTTCCGGCGACAGTCTCATGGCGGAGACGATAAAATAGGAAGCGTTTCCGGATAGTGCTTATTCCGGATACTATTTCAAGCACACGAACGACACGAAATCAAAACTCACGTGAATAACCTGAATGCATTTATTCAAAATTAAACAGATTCTCACATATAAAGCATGAAAATAACTCGAAAAAAATCATTAGAAAATGCATCGTTTCCTGACAGTATTTATTCCAGAGTCAATTAAAAGTAAACAAGCTCTTGAATGACATGAAAGCATGCATTCAGAAATAGAAAAAAAATTCTCCGACAAAGAGACATGTAAATATCCTCCACACAAAAAGAATGGGAATCCCAAAGACTTTCATTAAAACACAGAGCTAATAATCAAACGCATATCTAAAATATTTCATCAAATATATGCCCTAATAAAGGAGAAACCCACTAGGGCATACACTCATGTAACATTTTTTCTAATATGTTAGCTTGGTCTATTTCATCTCATGACAAATGCATAATTTCAATGACAAATACTTTGAACATTCTAATTGCTAAAGTGTCTGCAGACTAGTTACCGACTTATTACATATGCTTTGTGCAAATTGGTACTTGCTGTAAGAAATCTCAAGGTTAGAAAACCAAAAACATACTTTACGCTGCGTTACCTACCTACCTACTTGCTTTTGGTATGAAGTGGCACTCAAAAGGGGATTTTCGATTTCATTCTAAGCTATGTGATTGCGTGGAGTGTGACATCCACGTACACAAGAAACACGTGAATACCAGGAAGTTTTCTCGAGCAAAGGGCATTGCTTGACCAATCAAGTTGTTATTACACGTATGGGCAATATAAGAAACTTTCGCCCACTACACTCAAAACGGCATATTTGGTAATAACCTAAAATACTTTCTACTGTTTTAAGTAGATTGTAAATTTACTAAATATGTATAACAGTGATGCATATATTAATATTTTATATTTGATAGTGTTTTTAAAATTTAAGTGGTAGCCCGACAAGTCTTGAATGAGTTTTTAACATAAAGATATCCATAATGAGAGATAAAACATTTGACAAACAAGTTCACACATAAAATTTTAAATAATTTTAAAGATATTATCTTTTTGTGGCAGATATAATCTTGCACCAGAAGGTCAAAGTATATGAAATCTGACAGAATTCCTGTTTTTGGGATGACGTCAAAGAGAAAATTGTTGAGCCAGTACGAAAGACTGGTAGGGACATTTCAACTTTATGAACTCCCGAAATCATAGTGAGAATTCACAATTATAGTAAAGCTTCGTGAATTAAAGTTTTCAACGTATGGAATTTACGATTTTAACTTCATGAATTAACGATTTCAACTTCACGAATTCACAAATTCAACTTCATGAATTCAACCCCATGAATTGATGTTTTGAACTTCAACAATTTAACATCACAAATTCAAGATTTGATATTTAAACTCAGTATACAGAAACATATAAAATATATTTCAGATTAAATAGAATATGAAGCTGCCATGTTTTTAGTACTCTTTTCTTTTTGTGCAACACTCCCTCGTATATCTTAATCCATTACTATGCATGTACTTTAACTCTATACCAAATTTATCTTTGCCTGGTAAAATATTTCTAGTCAAAGGTAATGACATTGGAAATGACACCTGCCGGATTGCGTAAAAACGAGTTCTAACCCTATATCAAATAAAGCAATATATTCTTATGTTGATTCTTTATATAATATTGATATCACCCGATGAAAAATCTTGTTATATTGTCTAGAGCGTCGTTACTACGGAAACTGAGCTGAATTAGTTTCCCCAATATATCACTTCTAAATAAAGACACAACATTTTAATGCCAGAATCTGTTGTTTTTGTTGTGTTTTTTAAAATTATTTTTCATTAAGAAGTGGACAAGAAATTTGTCTTGATCGTACTAACGAAATAATCAATAAGTAAATGTTATATAAAAAGAGCACGTGATAATAACTTTGAATGATACTATGCTGCTACAATAATACAAATCAAAATAAACTTATTTCAACAAAACACACTTGATGCACCTTGAATGCTATTAAAACTATATACATGTAAACCCAAGTATCATATTAAACGCAATACAAAATTTGTCAATCAATTTACCGAAAAAACATCAACAGAAACAAACACACAACAGAAATGCTTGTTCCCCAAAATGTTTTACTCTTTAAACGATCAGCCTTGATACTTTATTTTTTCTATTAATATTTTGGTCAAATGGTACATTTGTAACGTTATTTAGGTTCTTTCCTTACTTTCTATAAATTATTAAATCTTATGTGAGCCACGAGATAATAAGGGAATATTTGCAACATGTCACTGCTGCGCTTTCGTAGAAAGGTCAGTAAATAGCTCGTTTAAGGAGATAAAAAAGATAATGGCGTCTAGACACGTAATGTTACCACAATCGTTGATGATGAACTCAATCCTGATATAATTATAGATAAGAACGAAGCAAGTGGCATTTTCTTTATGTCACAGACGGGAATCGTATAATCATGTTGCATCTATTAGTTGTATTTTTGGCTATACAATCAACAGTTTTATGCAATTCTGTTTTCAGGCGATATGGTTTGTCTCTTTCTTTTCTTGTAATTATTCATTACTTTGCTGGGTTTTAAGTCTGACAAAATAAATGTCATATGCCGGCGACTTTCCATTGATTGCAACACGTTTTAAGTCGGAAATTGAGGACCGCTCAAGCCAGTGCTAGGGGCGTGAGGGATGTTGCACTTTTACATTATCACTCATTTATAGACTCAATCAAACAGAGTCTGCATTTTTACTGTAATTGTGTCTTTTTAATGCTTCCGAGGGATCACTTTTTTTTCCAGACTTTTTCCAACTTTACAAGTGGAGGAAGACATTTGATGCCCGTTCATGAATTATTTAAGGCGCCTAACAAGAACCATAGACCATCGTTATCTATCTTCATGACACGAACGATATCCAAAGTTATTGACGTGATGTGAACTCGCATTGGTAATGGGTTAATAATTCGAGGTCAGTGACCTTAAGAACTCGGCCATGGGGACACAAACTTCATTATCATTTACATTACTACTGTTACGCAGATTTTTCATTAATTTAAACATGATATTTACTCTTCATAATTAAATCTGTTTCATCCATTTGTTTTGGAATGTCTTTATGATGAAGAAAATTTACCGTTTGTTCTTTGGAATACCAGCGTATAATTTTGAAGATGAAAATACTGCCAAATTTAGTGTTTAGGGGGAGGGTGCGTGAGAAATGTTACACATTTCAGAACTCTTAAGACAGATAGTTAACTCACCCATTTGCTATTGTTTCTTGTGCTCTCAAGATACTTCCCCCTTTCCCCTTTTCCGTTTTTCTCGATTGTCTCCTCTTAGAAAAATGTATCCCATATTCGCTAATTAAAAAATATTTTTTTGCAGTTCCACATTTTGACAATGGAAGGGCTGTAACACATATTACAAGTAGTTCCATTAACGAGGCTTCCGGTATCTGCGCAAGCAGGGTACATAAAAATGTCATTTACACGCATAATGACTCTGGTGATACCCACAGAATATTTGCCTTTAGGTGAGCTAAATGATGAAGGAATAAACATGTATAATATCGCTCTCGCACATAAACATCAATGTAATAACTTAATTCACAGTTATGCCAAATTAGATTAAAGATTTTTGTTTAACTGGTAGCAAAAGATTCAAATCCAAGCAATTCTTATTCTGTAGATGTCATATTTTGTAGCATTAACATAGTGTTTAAATACAAACAATATTCTATCGAAGCTTGTCTTTACGAAAATTTAATTCACGAAGAATCCTTTCATGAAATTTAATACTTTTAGTTTAATATAAATTCAGTGCGGAGAACGGACATCGTCTCGGAACTATTACGATTGACGGTGCACACTCACGTGATTGGGAAGACATCGCCTGTGGACCATGCGCTGGAGGTTCTGGACATTGTATATATATTGCCGACACCGGCGGAAATGCTGGTGGTGACGAGAATACAATTTACCGGATCAGAGAACCCTCGCATTTAGGCGACCAGCATGTGTCGTTAGATTCTACATTGAAATTCAGGTGACTTCTTTGTTGTTGGCCTTGTTGATGAATAAATATAATGAATGTATTAGATAAATAACATTCATTAAGGAAGAGCTACGTTCATGAAATTTAACGAGTCTCTGGCAACATCTTTCGAAACCCACATTTATCACCTGTTATTCTAAATACCCGACGATTGTTCTAAATTTCATATGAAAACATATAAACGTCAGAAATAGTCTCAGCCTTTGGCAGCGCAACCATTTGTGTACGTGTCATTAAATAATCCACGATATGTTTGCAAAATAAGTCTAATGGAAAAGTTGATAAAACATTGCCGCTTCACTCATTTCAAATAACGCTTGGTGTAACAATTAAATCAACTCTTGGACGTTTTTGTCTTTTTAAATCAATATTGTGCCGCCTTACAAGTAAGATTTTTACACGAAAAAAAAAAACTGTTATATTTCTGTAGTTGGGACCAACATGACTGTGAAACTGTTATGGTTGACAATCATGGAGAAGTGTATGTTGTGTCGAAAGTAAGCGCCGGTCATCATCCAAAGTTTGTACATCTACCTAGCTACGCATGGGGAACTGGTCGACGCGACTACGTCAGTAACGGTGTTTATATGACAATTACGTCACGTTCATATAACCCTGTAGGTGGTGATATATCTCCAAGTGGTCACGAGGTAAAGTACAATGTTTCATAGCGTAACATGTTTGGCTGTTGAATGATACTCGTGCTCATTTAAAAGAGCATGAGTATAATTGCTTTGTTACGTGAAAGTCAAAGACCCGAGCTTCCAAAGAAATAATTAATCAACGAATTAACAACACTAAGTGATGTTACAATTTTTATAAAAATATATGTATAAGTAATATACCGGTTCAAGTTAATAATATGAGGTTGTTATACAATTGAAAAGAGTGGGAGTGACGAAATTCAGGTATATATTAAAAAAAAATCTGAATACGCCAACCCAACATATAAGATTAAATTTTTCTATTTTCTGTGGCTACATATCGGAGTAAGTATTTAAACATACGTTGGAGAACATATTTAAAAACAAACTTGTCTTTTTCTCAGGTTCTGATAAAAGCATACGGCCACGTATATTATTGGTACGTCCCTAACGGCGATTACTCGGAGCAGCTAAAGAAACCACCCGTAGAGATTCCACATCACTGGGAGCAACAAGGGGAGTCTGTGTGTTTTGAGCCTAATGGCTCCGGTTACTACACTTTGAGTGAAGGCCATAATCAACCACTCTATTACTTTCATCGTCAAGGACAGGCACCGATCACCGGGTGAAACAAACGTTGTTGATCATAATATTTACCTCAATGTAATGTGTTTTATTCATTTTATTTTGTAAATAAAATGATGAATGATCATAAATAAACCATAAAGTTGTGCTTTAATTATGCAAATATTATCATACATTTAGAAACATTTTCCCCTTGTTCTCTTTTTTAAATGTATTGTTTCAAAAGGTCTAAGCCATATTAATTTTGTTTTGTTTTAGATATTGAGTGTACTCTCTGTCGTGCAAACATGTCGACACTAATTTTTTCAGTTACAAGCATACCTGATTAAAGTACAGGAACTTTAATCATGTCTACGCACACATAAGGATAAATTCAATCCATATTCACTATTCAAATAGCAACAACATAGAACATGTTGAAAATATCAATACAGAAACGAGATGGGTCAGCTGATCGTAAGAATCTCTAGACGCCTTTTATCACAAAGCCGATCAGCTCTTTCCATTCTGAAAAAAAAGATAGTTTGCGAGACCTTGCATATATTGTGACGTCGCAGTAGTTGCATAATATAAATATAGCATACAGACGCACTAAATGTTAACATTACACCATAAGCATGTCTATGAAAAAGTGATATTTTTTAACTGTAAACAGATCTTATTTTATATATGTGATAATCAGTAGCATACTAATTTTGCAATAAACAGGTTAAACTTTTTATTGCATTTTGATCAACTATAATGAAGTTATTACCAATTGAACTTGAAAGTTGGATTTTCCGACTTCACAAGATGCACGACATCTAGCAAGAAAGTCCACATGTAACAAAGAACTGTAAAAGGGTATAGATCATAATTTGGGGATGGATCTCTATGAACACAAAAATCAACAGCGTTGTCGTCAATGGCAATCTGCGATGTACTCGTACTTTGAGAACAAAATGCTTTAATTAGTAATATCATTCTATATATTTATATGAATGCTTTCAATGTTTTGATTAAAGCTCAAATGTAAATGTGAAGCGTATTTGAAAAAACACTCGAGTCTGCTTCCTGGTACTAAACAGCTAAAACGATACATGGTCGTGACACCAGAAGGGGTCTCTCAATTAAGAGGAAATGTCGTTACTACTAGGTCAATGTTCCCAACCGTCAATGCTTTTATGTACAATGACATGAACCAAACTATTCCTAGGTGAGATCAGAAACTAATTTGTCAAAACCAGTATCTTAATTGCTAACAAATGAGGACAAATGTTGACAAATAAGAAAAAAGAATCCTCTCAGTAATATCTATTAAACAACATTATTGTCACTCAATTGACATTGTTACACACCTTTATTGTTAAAATATTTATGGAGAGGTTTCTACCAACGAGATAATTGTATTTTAAAAGACATAGTTTTGTATAGGTTCATTGAGAATTAGTACATTAGCATTTGTTCAATGATTTGTAGGTGGTGAAATGAGAATTGTAGAGGCGGGCGGCTTGTCATAATTACGACTTTAGTTCTCCTCTTGAACCTTTGTGTGTTACCATGATCAATTAAAGCAGAAACACTTGCAACACTATTATACCACATCTACTCATCTATGAGTGACATTGAAGAAGAGAAAAGTATCTTGTGTTACTTTTTTCAGGCGTATCAGCTAATCACCTGAACAAGACATGGTTTGTTGTTACAACATTTGACCAAGAAATATCTTGATTATCCCCATACTCTCCTATTAAATTATTTAATTATTATATCTGATTGTCCTCGACATGAACAAAATTCTGGTAATTCTTTTCGGGAAACAATAATCATCTTCCATCATATAAATCAAAGAGCAGGTGACCATGTCAGACAGAATTACTATATACATTGACATAAAGCAAACACCAAAAACAACAAAAATTAAATGAGTAACAAGGTGAGAAGTTTATACAGATTTGCTTGACATTTTACATATTGTTTTTCTATGTAAGTTTTGTGAAGCCGGCGTAGTGAAATTCAATTCGAAATCATTTAAAACAGTGTTGCATTTCCTAATTAGTGTGTTTATTTTCTTCTTAATATTTATTTGTTTAAAATTAGTAACGCTATTAAGATCGTATAAAATTTCAAGTAGGCAATTTCTACTCTCTGTATTGCATGGTTAGAAATCAATTTAAACTGTGACTGCAAACTGCTAGTAACCAAGGAACTGTTAGACATGTTCGCCTAAGAGAAATATTATCCTATTCTTCTTAAATGACATCATATTGAGTACAAACTCCATCATTCACTTAGATTGTTTCAGCATAAATGTAAAATGAGAGTCCATTAGTAACCAATTTATCAAATATAGTATTATAGTATATAGTATTATTACATCTGTGAGAAATCTAATAAGGTAATAGAACATAAAGCATATAAATAACGTTAATGTCATTCAATGGACAATGTATTTCACCTTAAAGAATAAAATATTTATGAAATAATTGCTGATCTATTCACTTGAAGACATGTTAATGTGTGTGTGTGTTTTATCATCCATTATTATCACTTCTGAGTTTATGAAATAGACATTGAAAATATGTATGTATGGTATAATCGGTATCTAAGATACTGGTGCGTCTTTTTGAAAATATAAATCATTGAGCAGGTGAAAATGTCAGACAACATAGACAGATACAATGAAATATTTGTAAATTAAGGTATAAACAAAGCAAATACGGAAACAGAGACAAGTTGACTCAGCAGTAAACCGTACAGATGTGTCTGATCTAATGAAATTTACTTTTGATTATTTTTGACTAGCTAGAGTATAATACAAGAACAGTATAATAAATACAAATAAAATATATAAAGGTTAGCAACTCTGTGGGAAATTTTGTAAGCTCTCTGTTTCAATAGGTTTCCATAGGTACAATTTGGAAGAGTTCTAAAAATATGATAAAACAATCGTCCAATTATATTTTTCTCGGCAAACCAGTCAAATTAAAACCAACAAAAACAATATTGCGTTCAGTATTTAAAGAGATCTTTACGAAGGAGATATGTAGAAATAACTATTTTCCAAAAAAGTTTCTTATGTGCTTTTCCTCTATATTCTAAAGAGATATGTGATAACTAGTTATTTCCTTTTCATCTGGGACAGTTTGATGGTATTTAGCGGCCCGTTCATTGATTAAATGTCAAAAGTGAGACATTAATTCATCTTACTCCGTTTGTTATGATCTTTCAAATAATCTTCCCACTTTTAAATTACATACCAATATCCAGATATATGAAACGCCTTAACTTCATAGAAAATGATGAATGATTATACATATTCGTAAATACACGAATTCATTCCTCTTATAATAGCCGAATCCTACGTTGTCTCAGATTAAAATACGAAAAATACGTCTAAATGTTATCTTCTGATAATAAACCCAATGTTTTCAACTTAATGTCCGACACAATATGCAACCATTTGGAGAATCCAAGTAAATATGTGTATGACGATGTACACTATATACCTGTACTAGAGAGACAAAATTAGAGAAAAAAATCAATACGATATAATAAAGTTTTTGTTAATGTTGTAGTCATGAAATCGCTTAGATATTTCAAAAGGATCAGTAAAGCATCTCACTTCCATCTTAATCAATAATTATCATATGTCTGTGTAGTGGTATGTTATTTATGTATTACGGCTTATAATCAAAGCGAACCTATTGTTAATGCTATCAAAATGTATATGCATAACTTAATATAGAATAATATACACATATTGATCAATTACTCTTCTTTCTTATTAAGAAAATCAAAAGTTCTTATTACCATCATAACAATACAATGAAGTCATTGTGGTTGTAACTGGGAAAATATTCAAATGTATTACTTTGGAATAAATTCATTACATTGTAATGATAAAATAAACTTTCAATTTAAAAGAAAAAAGGGGAAAAAAACATTTCAATATTTGATATATAATAACTATACATCATATGCACAACGTTTATCATGCGTCTATGCAGGAAATATTTTGATGGACATTGGCCGTAAAATTATGGAACAATTTCTGCTAAACAAAATGAAGCTGTGTGGCTCATGATTTTACCATCCCATTAAAATGAGGGAAATTTTATGTTAATTGAAAATTTTGTTGAACTGTTTAGTTCTGCCAATAAGGTAATTTATACCGTAGATGAAATCAATGTTTTTTCGACACAATATAGCTGATAAGAAACTGTAACTTACATTTCGCAGTCAGATGTCAATGGTGTATACTCCTCAGCTGTAGCTAATTCCATGATATATCCTATATGTCTGTATTATCTGTTTAATGTTATAATATCGAAATTATGATAAATTTGTTCTTTTGTTGTTGTTGTTCTTTTATTCTAGTTTGTTTATTGGTTCATTTAACATACATTATTACTTTATTTTATTTAGGAAAACATTTACTGTATCATTTTTTCTTTTATATTATCACCACATCAATATGTTTCTTTATGAAAATTCCACAAACACTATTAAAACGTCTGGTTTCTTCAGAACTGCTTTTTTAGTCCTGTTCTTTGACACAGTTAATTCTTCTTTCTTTAATAAATGTAAAAAGGAACTTTCATTCAATAAATATATATAATCAAAACAAAAACATATTCTTGAAAACATAATTTCTTTTTTATTTACTTAATATGCCCTTAATGCATTGCTTAGAGATTTAAATTAACCATATTCCAATAAACGTTATACTATATATTTAACTTCCATACTCTCAAAAGAGTTATCAAGAATATAATTATGGAATCCAATAATCTCACGACTGCCTGGAGGCTAGAAACATCAGAAGGTATTTAACTGTTGTAGTAATTCTCAATATCAAGAAACTATATATTTTCCTTTTGAATTATATTATCAACAAGAAAGAAATATAATGAACTTATATCGGAAATTATAACTTTCATACTTTGATTTCCGTTATAAATAAGTTGTAAAATATTTTATATGAATTACAATCGCTTTATGAATTCGCTACCAAGAATCAAATTTCGTCAAAATCAGAATCCCAGTCGCAAGTCATTGCCTTTCTTTTCTGTCGTATCAATGCAACAAAATCTACGTTACTAGTTATAACTCTTTAATATCGTGTAGTTTAAAAGACGATTTTCATGACTGGCACCGCTAAAAGAGTTGATA